AATTGAGTAGTTAGCATTGAGTCATGCGCAGTTTTTAAACGCAAAACTAAAAAAGGTTCAGTTGTGAAAAGTAGAAGAAAAATATTTTTTCCCATACATAATACCCATTTTCCAGCCATTTTTACAAAATGAAATCCTTTTTTTCTCCACTAATATGAGCTGATGGAGATAAAAAGCATGCCATCAGATATAACTATCAATGCTCTATTCAACTATATGTGAATTATTGCATTTGGTCAACGGATCAAAATCGAGGAGACAACCAGTAGGAGACGGGTCTCAAATACAGTGCTTGTCGCACAGTGCGTCTAAAATCATAAAAAAACATCGCACAGAGTTCGCCGACGTCTCATTTTGTAGAAAAATGTTTGCTCTACATCTGTAATGACTCAGAAATAGTTTGTATGTCCAGATCTTTGAGATTTGTGTCAAAATTTAGAATAGTAAGAAAACGATGAAACCTGTGCCTGTCTCCACTATTTGATTTATAGTACATCGTCCTAGTATTTTAAAATATTCTATTACATATAAATTGATACAGAATCGCCTGCTCTACAAAATGAAGTAAGATTCATCTTGGGACCGCCATATGCATGGCTTATATTTAAAAAGTATTGAGAAAAATGCAAATTTATAAATATGGAATATCTTAGTTTTCTATTATTTAGTCTTAGATAGTTAAACATATTATGTCTAAATATATGATCTTACAGAGTAAACATTTCTCTTTCGGATGAGCCATGAAAGAATTACAGGAGTTTGATAGTTTTTCAGGAAATCGGAAAATACGAAAATTTGTGAAAATTCACGTTTTTTCTTCGAATGAGACGTAAATAAAAGTAAAATAAAATATTCCCCCGGACAGCATGGTCGTTACTGGGGCGAAGCTTCTCTTAAAAGCTAAAAGCTACTTTCAAATTACGTTGAAATACTTTCTTAAATCTTTTGTGCGGCTTCGATGGCTTGTTCTAATGCATTCAACATTGTACTGTCGTTTTCGAATTGAATTCTATGTATTTGATTTTCGAAGACACAGAAGCTAAATGGCTTTTAGATCTGGAGAATATGGTAAATTTGGGTATGGTTCCAAGTGCTTTTCTGCCAAAATTCATTGGTAACATAGCGGCTTGTCCAAGCGTTACGCTGTTACGATTGGGCCACTATTTTTTCGACTTTTATCGAGAACCAGACCAGCTACAGAGTTCATTTTTACGTTGAAATATGTGACTCGGAGCATCCGACAAGTCGTGAGGGTATTTAGTGATTTGGTTCAGGCGTTTCGTTGAAAAAAGCACAGTAGAATGTGCTACGCCGTTACGAAAAACAATCCTGAATTTCGACTCACACTACTACATAAAGCTTAAAATATCTGCCAACTGAGGCACTTTTAAAAGATTCTTTCTATATGAAAGTTGTAGCAAAACATTATTATTGTAGAAAACATTTATATCAGTACAAAAAGATGCTTATACGTAGTCTAATAGTACAGTACTAAGTAAAAGACAAAAGTAATCAAAAACACATGTAATGAAAGCAAATTCCTGATTCTGAAAACTTTTATTAGATTCAGGTTACAGCGCAGGTAAAATATAACATATGTTGTTACTTTGAAGTGGTTTGGATAGATTCTGACTGGCGAGGGAGCCTATCGAACTGTTACCTTGCTTTTTCAACCAAATCCACTAGGTTATAGGTATTCGACCACGTTGACTCTGAATATCAACATGAGAGCTACCCTAAAAACAACAAAAACCTTTCTTAATGAGCCATGCTTGTACCCGTACATTTCTGATTAAAATGATATATCCCCAGCTCTACATGACCTTTCTTTGCAAAGTTAGGGAATTTACAAGAAAAGCCCTAAATTAATTTCTTCTGATTTCTGTAGCTGTGAGTCGACAATGAATATTTAGGGCTTTTCTTGTAAATTCTCTAACTTTGCAAAGAAAGGTCATGTAGAGCTGGGAGATATCTCATTTTAATCAGAAATGTACGGGCTACAATCATCGTTCATTAAGAATGGCTTTTGTTGTTTTTTAGTTTCTGAAAACTAGTTTTCCAGAAAACCGGATCTTTGAAGGTCTAAGGGCAGCTCTCATGTTCATATTCTGAATCAACGTGGTCGAATACCTATAATCTACTAGGTTTGGTTGAAAAAGCGACGTAACAGTTCGATAGGTTCCTTCGGGAGTTATAATGTTTTTAATTTTTCATGAGAATAGCCAAAAATGGGTTATTTACCAAACACAGGTTTTTAGTATGATTTTGAAGCTTTTGCTGGAAATAAAAATTGTCATGAGATTCAGCATGGTTGATAATCTATGTTTCCATCTATCTTTGGAGTTGTCAAAACATATCGGAAATCGATCCTGGGGCTCCTACGAAATCTGATGCCACGACTAAACAATGGAAAAACACAGGTTGGAGAATTCCCATCTTAACGAGGACAATCTGTCCGTTGAAAAAATTAATATATTTGCATTTCAATTTTTGGGATTATTAGCTGGTTCTCAAAAATCTCCTTCTTGGAAAATCGATTTGACAGTCGCTTTTCTTATGAAAAGACGCTCTCAAAAGATGTCTCCTGTTTCGAATGGTGAAAACCAGAAGTCTGCATCCGTCTTTGTTCAAAAGTTATTCAAAACGTTTGTGTTGATCGCATGTTCTTGAAGAGATAGTATTAGAAAAACATAACAGCGTAACGCGGCCATTCAATGAAGATGTTACTACTTTAACAAAAAACCCTAATAGATTGGATAACCCATCAAAAGTTACCTTCATCTATGTAATCTTTATTGAAAAATTTTCGTTGAATCGAACAGGAATCGAGTTAAAATGATATTTTCGTTGTACTGTTACGCGTCAAATTGGTGACGTTTTGTACTCGATGCCACGAGGATAGTCAAGAAAGAAAAAAAACTTTAAGTATATCAAAAAAATCGCCTATTGTTATTGATTAACATAATCTATAATAACCTTCTATATATGCGATATATAAGCGTGTACAGGTAGAAGAACATATGTATACAAATCAGACTAGTTTATTATATAGAGAGCGATTTGTACGTATCAATAAAAACCTGCATTGGTTTAATCAAATTCAATGCAAAAAGTGTGTTTCTATATACAATCGAGTGAGCTCTACAACTTGACACCCGCCAATTGTGCGTATTTTTACTTCAACTCATCTCATTAAAAGTAATCGTTACGTGGACAAGCCTATAGGCTCTATGTGACATAATGTTGTCGTCATGGAAAATGAGACCTTTCAAGACCGGTCTTTTGTTTCCATTCTGAAACAATTTTGAAGACTGTTCATAGATCTCCTCTTTAATGAATTGCAACAGAATTGAATACAGAACTGTTGTTGATCATCGGTGAGCTTATGACACATGTGTCAAGCACGCCATGAATAATTGAATTCACTGCTAACAGACCAATGCCTTGGATGTATTCTATTTGTTTGTATGTTGAATGAGGATCATCTTCAATTGCTGCTCGAAAAGAACTACGTTGCCAGCAGTTGCAGGATGATCTGAAAGAATAGCGTCTTCGGCACTGAAATTGCTCCGTTGAAATTCATAAAACCAATAGAGAACTATACGATCTGAAAGTGCCTGGTCTTCCCATGCCTTTATCAAGGATATAGTTTCTCTTGAATTTTAAACGAGCTTTCCAGTCATATAAAATCATAGTTCGAAACTGTTCTTATGGAAGTTCAAAAGTCATATTGAAAATGGTGTAGTCTGAAAGAAATGCAGAATACAACGACACACAGGACCTGTAAGTCATCAATTTTGCACATACTCCTAAATATATCTAAGAATGATACTAGTACAGTTTCACTCAAATTGCAGTTTTTAGGAGACTTGGACGAAAAGTTTTTGGAGTGCTCTGTGTACTTGGAGTCACTCTTTCGAGTGATCTTAAGTAGTCACTACATAAAGACTAAAGAGACAGCTTTTACTTGTCTAGTAGAATACTAGGTCGGGATTAGAGTACTTTGCAGTACATTCTTTTATAGTTATATAAAATATGCGTATTACTGGAGATTGACTACTGCTATGTCAAATGCGACTCATGTTTTACCACTTAACTTGAGCAATCCGCGTTTGTACATTGTCTTACTGCCAGAGTTATAACTCGAGTGTTCTATAATAGAGTAAATTATCGATATTTTGTACTCAAACTAGGTCTCCCTAATTTAGAAGACGTTATTTTTACCTTTGTTTCTTTCTGCTGTATTGCCAATGGTTTGTCGATATATTGACATCTTGTTCCTCTTCGCTTTCTACCGCTCACCTTGCAAGCCAACTGCCATTGTCATTCTTTGAACGTGTTATGAGGTACATCTCAAAATTTTGATTGATTTGATTGTGTTGTCCTTTTATTTGTTCCCCATTGCTCCTAGGACATGTTGACAGAACTGCTAACTACGACTAAAAGTTCTATTTTAACCTTATGGTTTTGCTATACGCCTGCTCATATTCCCAAACAAACCGAACTGAAGATTAACATGGCACATTCGGTTTAGATTTTGATGAACTCTTTCATGACCAATAATAGTTGATTGCATATTTAAGGTTAAATAGTGCAAAAATATTCTCTATCTAATTCGACAGAACAAAAGCACACTATCGTATATTATTTACTGTAAGGTGAAATTTTTTCGTCAAATACATAAAAAAAAAACATTGGCAAGGAAATAAGAGCTAACTGATTTGTCCAGGTCCTATTTTTATATTTCAGCTGGTTTAGTCTTATTATAACGGGAAAATCGGTGTTAGTAGAAAAAGTGCATTTGATTACAAAAATGCTTTATTAATCTCGAAAAGCTTAAATACACCAAGCCAGCTCATGTTTTATACAATCAAATTTTACTTACATTTCATACCGTTATGTAGATATAAGTATCTAACGTATACTCTAGACTATAGGAATTAACAAAAAAAAACCAAAGAAAAATAACATTTTTTTTATGTCGTTAAGAGCCCAGTTACTCAAACAGACATGAAAGCATTATCATTATTGAGTTTTTCAATTCGTTGACGTCGATCTTTAACATATAAATTAAATAATTTCGCAACTAATTCAGCCACAATAATATCGGATGTATTTGAATGTAAGATTTTAATCATGAGAAAACCATCACTTGAAAATAAAACATGTAGATTAAAATAAAGTTTAAAAGTAGATTTTAGCTTACATTTTTAAATATTTATAAACAAATTCTTGACGATAAACTCTGTTTTTGATTTCAACCATGTCAGTTATCGTCGCTGACTCTTCCATACCTAAAATACTACCAAATAAACTCTGTACTCATTTTCTTTGTACCAACATACCCAATTGTTCATAGATATCTAAATAACTGAGAATATAATTTTTTCGTTCATATGGTACTAGTTTCCATAACCAAAAGCAAAGATTAAGTAAAGTCATCATGAATAAAAATACAATCCAGAACCAAAGAAAGGCAAATATACGTTCATTAAATAAATTAATCGGCAGTATGCATTGGACAGTATACCAATTACTATTATTACCTAAAGAAAACTGTTCTTGAACTTCGGCTACACGAAAAAATGCCTCATTTTACCTAACATCCGAATCATAAAGTCTAAATGAGAAAATTGGTATAACATACATTGATTTATTCGATGGTATTACTAAAACTTACCACACATTACTACCTTTGGAAAATTGATCTAAAACAATTGAAATTAATTATTGCAGGTGTGTAGTTCATAGAAAATTCTATCACTTACTGATGGCCACATGTTTTTTGAAGTAACGAATTTTTGTACAAATTCAACGCCGTACGATAACGTATTGCCAGTGACAAGTCTTGATAGAAGAAACAGTTGTATTAGTGAATTACTCATATATAGTATTTTCATTAATAAATAAACAGTGGTCACATAAGTTCCATAAGGCGATCCAATACGAAAATAATTACATATTTTCAAATATTTTCCGTAAAATTTATGTAAATAGTTTTCATAATACACTGCATTATAATGAATTGACCGTCCCATAACATTGACCATATGGCGACGATCATTCTCTTTACGAATACCAACTTCATGTAAATTACTAATTAAGCGTCGAACATCCAACCCTTAAACATATACAAATTTCAATTTCTACTCTCACTATCGAGTTCAAGGTAAAAGACAGTCCAATGTTATTATTTTAATAGCGTTTGATAGAAAGACGATAGATTCCATGAGCTTTCTGTTATTCGATAGTCAAGTCCGGAACACGTCTTTCTATGAAAAAAAAAACTCCAGAATTTATCCCAAAACAGATTGACAAAAGGATCTTGACGATTTTAAGCACATATGTATTTGGTTTTTACATAGATAGAAAGGTCCAAATGTCAAAATACAAGCCAACCACGAGCTTCATTTCTAACGTTCTGAATCTAATATTGAATTTCCTGGGCGTCTCGGAATCGATCTCTATTAATCTGATGTAACCCTAAGAACTCATGAAACATATATTCTTGATAACATCGAGACACGCTTCGCGAATGTTCTATATCGCGATAAACTCGAAGTGAAAAAACATTTTTATAAACCACTTTTTCAAACAGTTTTTATAGAAAACCTTACTTACAAACAAAGTTATTCGGAGTTGTTTATACTATAACCAGATTTCCCACAGAAAATTAATGATAACCTAACGTTTTCCAGTTATTCACATTAATTTTAAGTGAGCTATGAGTTTTTAAAGGCTTGGTGAAAATCGCGTGTTTTTGTAAAACTGAGTGTGAATAGATCGTGGCATCTACTTTCAGAAACAAACATTGCCACATAATAAGGTCAAGAATATATGTTTCATGAGTTCTTAGGGTTACATCAGATTAATAGAGATCGATTCCGAGACGCCCAGGAAATTCAATATTAGATTCAGAACG